GAAGGCTGTCAGAGACGTGGCAGGGCAGCTGGCAGAGAGGTGCGGCTGGCAGAGAGGCTGCTAGAGAGGGCCAGAGCAGAGCCCCACAGAGGCGTGGCAATCGGCCATTGAGGAGATGAGCGAGTGCCCTTGCCTTCCATACAGGGTAGGAGGTGAACTCTGCGGATGAACCTCTGAACTCTAGGGCTGCACTGGCCAAGGACAGCAACTGTGAGTGGGGTACAGAGAAGGCGGGGGACAAGTTAAAGGGACTTTTGGGTTGCGGGACTTAAGACTGAGGGGAAAAGGACACTGCCCAACTTACTTGGGGGTGGGTCTTTTGTTCATGCTTTGTGTTTATGAACCCTAGTTGCGGTGTTTTCCCAAATTAATGCTGAGTTAATTCCCTCCTTTTATTAAAAGTTTTTGCTACATTCAGACTCTATACTTGTGAGAGGGGAAGTATTGCTTCTTACAGGCACCCAGGGGGTGGTTTGTAATTGTCCCAGGTCACTCGGTGGGGGCTTGAGACGGTCTTGTGTTGTATTGTTGAAAAGGAACCCCTAGATACTGAACCCAATCCTTGTTGCTGCTGGCTCCACCTGGCAGAAGGGTTACATATATAAGGCAGCGGAAAGAAAAGAAAATTCTTACAGCTATTGCTCTCGAGGCTACAAGCTTATAGCATAGGTTCGTATTTTATGGCAAGAAAAGTCAAACTCCTAAATCTTCAGCCATCCAAACATCATTGTATTAAATACAATTGAGCCCAGTAATGCTGTTCAATACATAATAGATACATTGCTAAAAGGGACAGCAAATTATGAATGTTTTTAAAGCAGAGGTAAAGCAAACAAGAAACCAAAAATACATCACAAAATATCTTTCTTTGTGTATTGACAATATGCCTTCCTCCATGAGCAAATAATAACAAGTAGTAAAAACAAGGAAGTCCTAGTAATTGAAGACCTCTCTCCTTTTTAACAGCCATAAAACACCAATGCACTTATCTTGCCATCAGAAAGAGGTAGCCTTGCATTGTACTCTTTAAAATTCTACAAATGAGTTTCATAAATGCAATTTCTAGTCTCTTGGTTAGAGAGGATAGGAATTTCCTCTTTAATTTGGATCACGAGTTTCTTAAATGTTATGATCCCGAAAGTGTCTTCAACATGTTGGTAAAAACGAAACGTAAGGAAATTCTAAGATTGTGTAATTTCTAATGCATTTACCTAATTCTTAAACAAAATCTGTAAAATAGCCACATTGGACTTTAATCCAGAGTCCATGATTGCTGGAGGCTCTTCAGGGTGCCTCTATAGTAAGCATGGGAACAAATGGGGATTATGATCCTTCAAAATGTGTATAATAAGACATTAATGATCTTGATGGGCTGGGCTCCACTTATATTCCTAGGACTCATGTCTAGACATTTGAATTACAGGCATTAGTTAATGTAAATTACTAATTCTGCTCCATTAGTTGACTGAGATTTTAATATGAGAATGATTTGTTGATCTACTTGGATAAAAAGAAAATGTCAATCTCATACCAATTTATTATGAGTTATCAGTGTGTCTTGTATAATAAGTGTAAAGTTAAGTGGGAAAGCAATTTGAGAATATGGTACATTCCCTGATAGTTGGTCCATGATATGTGATAAGAAATATATAAGCATTTGAAACATAGAATGGTCCTTTTACAGTATTCACAGTATGTTTTTGATCCCAGGAAAAAAATGTATAAAATAGATGCTAAGAACAGTGATACCTGTCACATATAAAACTCAGAATGGTGACTTCATGAAACTTGTTTTGAGCTTCTGAATTCCAAAGTTTTGAGTTGTGGTGGCTGGACATTACAGATGCTGTAGATATGTAGATAAGGCTTTTCTTTATCAATGGGTGTGCAGTATCAATGATCTATCCCAACTACTTTTATCCAATTGTAATAAATAGCTCTTATATAGTTGGATCTACAATTAAAATTACTGGCATTGCCTTATCAGTAGCTAAAACTGTATTATGCATTATTGGAGGAAGAAGTTTATGACACGAATAAAAGAATGCATTCATGCCTTGATGCCCATTTACCATCAGAAAAAGGCTATTTGCAGTGGCTGCCCTGGGACCTAAAAGAAAATATAGAAGTCCTGCTTTGGGTTTTAACTCTCCAGGGACCTGATTCTGCAAAGTGCTGGGTGCCCTCAGCTTTCATTAGCATTTTCACTGTTCCACACAGTTTTCAATTAAAAGACAAAAAATGTAAACTCTGTTCCTTCTAATATCACCACAGAAAAATATGTTTATAATATGGGAAATTAGGCTTTTAAACTGTTTTAATTGGAAAGTCACAGAGCGCATCCCAGAAGAGGTAATAGAATCTTGAGCTGTAAGGGGGTGTAACAAAGGTGGGTATCCAATACTTGCTGCTAGAACTGGTTGGAACCTGGAATTCTGGTTTCATGGGAAATTCAGGCATTTTGATATTTTCATTCCAAAATGAGAACAGAAAAAATCAAAATTTCCCATGTTACAAGTTCAAAAGTTTTGTTTTGGAAAATGGCATTTTATTTCAACCTTTTCAAAATGTTTAGTTGTGATAAGATAAAAACCACTGTTTCAACGTTATCAACTCAGCTTTGTTATATTAGATTATAATTTATAACATAATATAAAATTCCAAAAGGGTTAGACAAATATTATGACATAATGATTGAAATCTTTGACTTGTCTTTCATTTTTATTTTATATTATACATTGGTAATTGGTTTTAAAATTGGTATTCTGACTAGTAAATTGGTAGTGTAATTAATAAGTAATGTTTTACTTGGTAATCGGTTTGGCAATTGGTATTCTAAATGGTCATTTGTAATTGCTATTCTAATTGGTTTGGTGATCACACACACACACTCACAGTGTGCGTGCAGTAAGAGAGGGCAATATTGTAAAAACCTATTTCATTAATTTCTTTACTTCCTTCTTAGCAGCATACCTGCATCACTGATAATTTCAACACAGCTCTGGTGCTAGGGTTTGTTTGCAATAGATCTTGTTGCTTAGCAGTACACAAAACATTGTTCTTGCCAATATCTTAAATAAATGGTGTCTATTAGGCATTATTTGCAAATTTTCCAAAACTGAGGATTGTTTTTTTTATTAAGAAAGTTATGAAATGACTATAGCACTCATGTATAAGCCCTCAGCACTACTATCATGTGCATGTGCTGTGATAGGGATTTTTCCTGCAGAAATAGGTTTATTTTCCAAGGAAAATTTCAACTATTTGGCAAAATATTGAATGCCTGTGGTTATGTTTGTTGTTATGTTTTCTCAGATTAAATAAAAGTTTAGTATTTTGTCAAACCAAGATGTGGTTTGTGTGATGCATGGCTAGAAAGGGTTAAACATTCTGCAAAATAAATAACCCTCAAAAGACATGTGGGGAGATAATGTTTGTGTTTTTGTGTATTTACATATGTATGAGTAGGGTCCACAGTGTAATCAACAGTCCCTGTCTATGCTGTATTCTGATAATTCAGAGGTCAAAACATGGGATATTTCGATATTCATCTCTCTTTGAAATGTACTGTGAATAGTGTAGGAACAAGCAAATGGCCTTATGTTAATTCGTATAGCTAAGTAATGGTGATGGACCTCCTTCAAATTCATCCTAATTACCTTTTGTTCCTTGAGGAACTCCAACTTGTCAAAAGACATGAAATTGTATAAAAGATCCTTGGGTACTGATTCTGTCATCTCAGATTTGCTTAGGCTTCATCGGGGAAGTTTGAGTCACAAGACTGAGGTCCCAGTTATGCTGGTACTCATTGAATATGAGATTTGGACATTGGACTATAACCTATGAACTATTTCTGAAAGAACTCTTTACAACTACACCATCTTTGCTATGACTCTGAACCTCTATGAATCGAACTCATGTCTATATGTATATTGATCGTTTAACCATACTCTCTCTCTCTTTTGTTTTTTAATAAATTTTAGTTTAGTTAATAAGAATTGGCTGTAGCGTGTATTTGGGTAAGATCTGAAACATTAATTAACCTGGGAGGTAATGTGTCTGATCCTTTGGGATTGGTAAAACCTTTTCTTTTATATGATGAATTAAGATTTACAGAAATTTTCATCATATTTGATGTGGGTATCTGGATGGAAGCCTGAGGCTGGGTCACTTTAAGGGACTGTGCTGATTGGACTTCTGAGTAACCAGTAAGGTATCTGTTTTATGCTGGCTTGGTAAATCTAAGTATTGGAATATCCACCAGCTTTATGGGGATTGGCTGCCCCATTCTTTGAAATTCACTCTAATTGAGTTACCATAACTGGCTCTCCTAATCAGTCAGTGGGTTTTGAAGAGATCTGCAGGGCGCTCAAGATAGAGTTAAGAAAAGCAGCCAAGATTGCCCAATATTTACAGGCAACTGTCCTGTGAAGAAAATTAGAGGGGTAAAAAGCTGTACTAGCAGCCCAGAGAAACCAGTGTTGAAGATATGTGCCCAGGAGGTTCAAGTCATGACACATGCACTGCTGACTGATTATGTAATTTAAGGGTATCCATCTACATCTCCTACCACACACTAACATCATACATGTTATAACTGTACAACAATTGGTAGGGGGCAGGTATTCCAGCTGCAACTCCTCCTGCATCCTACACATCCGACCTCACCTCATGTAGGTCAGTGATTATGGAATATTTGCAGAGTGTGGAGAGTTCTGTTCCTTCCTCTTTCCCTGGTGTAGGTCAGTGATAGAGCAGCAAGAGAGAAATCTGGAGCGAGTTCCAGCTGCTGCACCCTGGTATCCCACTCCACTGAAGATGCTTATGGGGATTGCAAAGACTCCCTCCCAATGTTTTTTCCTGAACACACCTCCTCGTTCCTTTTTCTAACCAAACAATGAAGCAGGCCAATCAGCTTCTGAGGAGCTCTGTGAATTTACATTTGTTGACACGTTGCTGGGCAACATGTGAGAGACAAAAGAGAGACTCCCATTACCATAGCAACAGAAAATGCTAACCTTCCAAGCCCTGAAAGAGAGAAGGGACTGGGCTGCTGCCAGTTCCTTGCCCACTCCTGGATGCTCACAGCGGGGATCAGTATGTGGGGGATTAGGTGCTGAAATCACAAGGTAAGTCAGAAAAAATTACACATGCAGAGCAGGAAAAATGTGGTTTGTTTTGTGTTCTTCTAAATCTGCTGTTTAAGCTGCACAGTTTTCTCTCTTTTACAAAGATGAACCTGAACCATAACTCTGGATCAGAACACTCCTGGTCTTGGGAAAGTTGAGATCTGGATCCAAACTTTGCAGCATGGCCCTTTAAACCAAAATAAATATTTAGAATAAATAGTCATTAATAGATTTGTTTCATTACAAGGTTTGCACTTCATCCAGCCCCTTCTGACCTTTGGTTCAGATAATTCTGTTCATTTCTTTAAGGCACCGAGAGAGGAAAAACAGTGAAGTTTCCATTTTACCCACTGAACAAAGCAAACATGAAATTCCTGCTTATGACATTTGCAGTAAAGTGACATTAGAATCATAGAATCATAGGACTGGAAGGGACCTTGTGAGGTCAGCTAGTCCAGTCCCCTGCATTCATGGCAGAACTAAGTATTATCTAGACCATCCCTGACAGGTGTTTGTCTAACCTACTCTTAAAAAGCCCCAGTGATAGAGATTCCACAGCCTCCCGGGGCAATTTATTCCAGTGTTTAATCACCCTGACAGTTAGGAATTTTTTCCTAATGTCCCACCTAAACACCCTTACTGCAATTTAAACCCATTGATTCTTGTCCTATCCTCAGAGTTTAAGGAGAATAATTTTTCTCCCTTCTCCTTGTAAAGGCATTTTATGTACATTGTGATCCTTCATCCTGTTAGCCTTCAGGTAAACTCAGGGCTGGCGCAACCCATTAGGCGACCTAGGCAGTCACCTAAGGCACTACAATTTGGGGGGCAGCGACCGCGGTGGTATTTCGGCGGTGGGACCTTCTGGGGGGAGCGGCATTTCGGGGCAGGACCTTCCACCACCCAGGGTGGCAGAAAAGCTGGCGGCGATCCTGGGGAAACTATATTGTGTAGTGAATTGAATGCAGGGCCGAGAGTTAGGAATACCTGAGTTATAATCCCATCTCTATTACTGTCTTGTTGTGGCTTTGGGTGAATCACTTAATCAGTCTGTGCCTCTGTTTCCCAAGTTCAGACTCAGTTGACAATACTTCCCTAACTCACAAATACGTTGTAAAAATTAACTAGTTAAGCCCTCATCCCAGCACATCAAGCCCAAAAAGCCCAGTGGGAAAGATTCCTGCAGATCTCCCAGTTTGGTGAATGGAGATGGGGGGGAGGATTTGGGTGGGATTTCCCCCCCAAAATTGCTTAGTTGGTGATAATTAGGCATGTGTCTTACTTACTGGGAAAGCAGTATATTTATTTTGTGGAGCTCACCTGTACAGGTCTCCTTGACAAAGCTTTAGATAGTGTGTGCAAGTGGACGCTAAAAGTTAGAAACAGAAATATTACCTGATGTATAGGATAGCCACCACTGGCACATAAATTATTGATTGCACCAAATCACATTAAGAATCCTCCAGTAGTTCTAATTATCAGCTGTATAGGTAAGGTGCTGATAAGTAGTTACCAGAAACCAATGTTTCCTATAAAATGCAAAAATGATGGCATATAGAAACAAAAACAAAAATACATATGCTCTTTGTTTGTTTAATTTTTTCTGAAGTACGCTAAGTTTATGCAGATGTACGTAAAAAGAATCCCATCTAAGATTATACCTGATGGAATGGTTACCCAAATTATTATTTAGCATAATTGGCTTTAATGCAAAATTACCAATTTTTTATTCAAATTAGAATTTTCATTAATCTAGTGACCTGGGACTTGACTGGAAAGAGGAAGGATTTTACTTCAGACCAGATGAAACTATTGTTTTATAGCACAGAGCTCGGATGTTTCTTCATTTAACCCATAATATCTGGGGTATTTCATTCTGTTGCCCTATATGTTTTTTCCATAGGCTCATGAAATGTAGTAAAGCCCTTGTATGTGAAGAAATTATAAGATAGGATACTAGATAGTGTAAACAAATAAATGAAAAACAACTTCAGACACAGGGAAAGAAAGAAAATGAGGAGAAAGCAAACTCAAAAGTAGCAAATTGTGAAATCTCCAAAGCAGTTTGGGAGCAATTAATGATTCAATCCCGTAAATCTAATCTGTGGCATCCCACATTGGTCACTGCCACAGTCATCAAAAATGGCAACTTCATAGCAAAGACACTGCACTGTGCTTGGTGTAGAAGCCCAATTTTTTAAAACAATAAAAAAAATAAACTTTTAGGCTGCCATATGTTAAAGATGCATCACTAATTTATGAGGTAGGACCTCTAGTAAATGACTGATCTGCTACCTATGCAATGATCTTGCACTGTAATCCTGCCAGAGCTCACATGGTGCCTGGCTGGCTTAGTATTTGGACCCTGGCCTCCAAAGCACTGTTTACATATAGCAGGAGGACTCTTCCTTCTACAATATCAATGTCCCAGCAGGACATTAGGGAGTACTGTGTTGCTGGTTCAGATGAGATGTGAAACTGCGCTTTTAGACATCTGTATTGATTAAGGATCACAAAAAATTTTTAATAAAACATAGGGTGTTAAACCTGTTGTCCGAGCGGTATTACACTTCAGGTAATTACATCTGCCTCCCTGAGTTTCCCCTAAAGCTTCAATTCAATATGTTGTTCATCTTCATTTTCTTCCCTAAATTGTTGTTTGATGTTTCTGTACACTGTTATCTTTGATTTTAAGAACAGGGATATCCTGTTTAGGAACATAGGCATTGCCATATTGGATCAGACCATCTAGTCCAGGCGTTCTCAACTTTTTTCTTTCTGATTCTCCCCGCAACATACTGTACAAATTCCAGGGCCTAGAAGGGGGATGGGCTCTGGGATTCAGCTGCAGGGGGCACATTGGGCCCCCAGCTTCGTCCCCCTGGAGTGCACTGGGGCTCTAGGCTCCCAGCTTCAGCCCTGTGGGGTGCTCTGGGTGTCACCATGCCTCAAAGCTGAGAATACCAGATTCAGGACAAACTGCTGAGAAATAGGGCAGACTCATCCCAAACTGGTAGTTATTCTATCATTAGATATACCACTTCCTGGCTCTGCAACTGACCTCCTGTATGACCTTGGGCAAATCACTTCACATCTCTGTGCTGCTGTTTCCCCTCCCACCCTTTGTCTATTTTGTCTATTTAGATTATAATCTCTTCAAGGCACAGACTGTCTCTTATTATGTATTTGTATATTGCCCTGCACACTGGGGCCCTGATCTTGTCCTGGGCCTCTAATTGCTACTGTAATACGAATAATGAATTATTATAATAATGTTCATGCCTCATGTGATGTTGGAAACGTGATTGCAATTTTATAATTTCTATAAAACCCAAATGTGATGTCACAAATGAGATTATAAATTTTACTTTAGCCTGTTTGAGACCCCATTCATTTTCATGGGTTAATGTGAAAATAAATATGCAGTCACAAGTTGGAAATGACATCCTCAGACATCAAGTAAAGGATAAGCAGCAAGAGCAGATGAACTCTTATATGATGATGAAGGGAAAAAGGCAATCTGCCAAATTCTACAGGCCTTATTAGGTGAAACTCCCATTAAATTCTGTGGGAGTTTTGACTGATTAAGGACTTAAGTGTGCAGGACTTCAAATTAGTATTTATAAAACAGAATGTTTTTGGAAGGTATAATTAATTTTACTTATTTTTTGTTTTATGGTTGAATAAGCAATAGTCTATCCTGGCACCAGGAGACCTTATGTCATGTGATCTTCCAAAAGGTACATATTGTTTTGTGGTTGTGAATTGTCCATGTGGCATTCCTGCTAAGTGAAAAGGTGAAGTGTTGAGGATCACTAGCATTGGCCAATTTAATCCCTTGGTCAGCATAGATGTGTTTTGTTGGCAAGAATTCAGTTAAGGAATCCAAACTCAGAAAATGGCCTGCTAATGGGTTTTGAGGGATTGTTTACATAAGAGAATCTAGAGAGATTCCAAGTTCCAACAGAGCCATGAAAGAAGTCCACAACAATTAGAATAATAGCCACGTCAGTGAGTTATGCACCTTCTGAACCTATTGGTGGAACCTTTTCAGACTGAATCCTTGACCCACACATAATAGCTAAGAGAAAATAACATGTATTGATTATGATGCCATTGTTACAACTTTTGATTAGGATTAGTTAAAAAGTGTTATATGCTACAAGTCCTGTTCCCCATACAGAACAGGAAGGTGGATGATCGAACTTATATTGATTACACACTTTTGATTCTGGGCTGTTATATATAAAGTGTCATTCTCAGCCTGAAGCTGAACTAGCCATTTTATTTCACTTGTTTTTAATTGAATCAGACGAGTCCATTATTTTTAGAATTGCTGCTCTCAGTGGGAACTGCAGAGGGTCTCAGGTATTGGCTAGCAGAGCTATATAAGATAGCAAACCATAACTGGTTTCCAATGTTGTATCATTTAGAAAAGAAAAAAAAGTTTTATTTTAGCTTTTACCCAGAAACATTAATTCCACAACCTGAATGAATTCAATGTATTTTATGATTTAAGCTAGACAAAGGGGGTTTTGAAGTCTTCAAATACATTTTCAGTTCACACTGAATTTATATTTACTTTCCAACAAACAAAGGAGAACTTGGCAGGAAGAAATGTAGACCAAATGGTGTAATCCCCATAAGGAAGAATAATTCTGTAAGTATTTCAATAGCAAGCTTGGAAATCCAACAATAGGTTATATTGTTAATAAGTTGTTTATAGCTTCTTTTATTGTTTTATTCATTGTTAATAATAAAATAGCTTGAGTCAGACAACATTCTTCATGTGGGAATCAGTGTATTGCTTGATGTTACTTTCAAATCCTTTCAGGTAACATAATAATCAATCTGACATAAATCAGTAAATAGAACAGAAGATGATGAGTACAACCTCACTAGGTTCAGAAGCTCTTTGAAACTTAGCTGAACTTTCTGACATTCACTTCCCATGACCCTCCAACAACCCTTATCTCCTCCCTCCACGTGACCCATTAGTGTGTCCATTTCCTTCATCCCACTAAAAGGCCTTGGCTACCTTCCAACTTGTGTTCAATAGGCAGTCCTCCTAGGAATCCCTTTTCCATTATTTGAACGGGCCACGTAGTTACAGCAGCCTTATTACTAGGCTTTGTCAGCCAATGAATTCAAATGAGTTCTGGAACCATGTGCTCCTATTGTGGAGCACACCCCACCACACAATCAGTGACTACAGTCATTTGTGGGGTGAAGAGTTGAACCGCAGGGAAGTAAGGGCCAGAAAATTCAGACCCCTATGAAAGGTAAGGTGCTTGCAGACTCATTATATATACAACTTTTTTGTCCTACACTAGATAGTTGACAGGGAGTGGAAAAGTGGACTTTTTCTGCATTAAAGTGATGAGGCAAAAGTTCTTGCTCTGAAAAGGACCAGGCTTTCTGCAAACCCACTAAGCTTCTTGTTTATTGTTGATTACTATAGTATCTGGAACTAACTTGTTTATGACCTTTGTATGGTCATTAGTTGGTAGTAATTTTTTTTCACTGGACATTTCAGTTTCACACTCTTGTGATGAATTGGTGTACGCTGGCTAGCAACCCTTTTGATACTGCAGACAAAAATATCACAGTGACGTATTTTAATGTGCATAGGGACATACAATACAAATATAGCCTCAGAAATTACAGGCTTTTACAGTCTTGTACTTTACAATGTCATTATATAAGCTGTAATGATACATTAGAATTTTAGAGAAGATGATGTTAAATTCGGAATGCATATTTTCCCTAATGTGTTTGCAGGAGAGCTGCCTGCATATTGCAAAATAGTTGTTCACAGACACTTGTTCTTATAAAAATTACAGATTTGCTTTGATGGCATTCACAACCCCTTGTATTCACTCTCCACAAACCTTTGCATGAGCCAATTTGAATTTGTCAGTGTTAGAAAGTGTCATGATATCCTGGGAATACACAGCCACAATCCATACCAGTGTTAGTGCAACCAACTTGACAGCTATTTGTGGGACTGGCAACAGAAAAAATAACATGCAACTCTGGTGACCACTCATATTTTTATTACTTTGTATGTGTTTTACACTAGCCCCACGAAGCCTCAGTTAGTGATCAGTTCCCAATGTGCTCTGCGTTGTACAAACATGTAATAAAAATACAGTCCCTGCACTAAAGTGCATACAATCTGTGCTAAATTTACCCGTGTGCAGTGGACCAGTGCAAGGCCTATGCTCTGCTTTAGCCACACTGGAAGACTTAAGTAATGCAAAAGCATTGTCTTCGCCTTTCATTGGGGAGTGAATATCACCCCCAGTACGAATAGCAAATTGCAAAACCCAAATGCTTGAAGCAATAGTCCTAGCAAATAGTCTGTGAGAAACATCTGGGCTGAAATATGTCCCTGTAAAATATTAAGGGTGGTGTTAGGTCCAGAAAAGTGATCCTATTTTGACTTTTGTCATTTTTGTGTTTCTATTACTAGTTAATGGCAAGGATGCCTAGAGCCCTGCATGAGAGTTCTTCTTATGTTGTGTCTTTAAGTACGGAATACCAATAAGTAAAATTATCAAATAATTCTGAATAACTAACAAATGGGTAAAAGTCTAACTCTCTGTGGATAACTTGCAAACAGAAAAGGGTGCTAAATTTGTCAAATAGTGTGTTGAGAATGGTATTCACATAGCTCACCTTGCATTTAATAGGACTCGCATGTAAAGTACACACATATATGAAGGGGACAATTTACAGAAACTATAAGAAAGGCAAAAATCCCAATGTTGAAACATGCTGAGAGCTGAATTCTTGAAGGCGAATAGCCACGTACTTTGCTTCAGAATTTGCTCCCTCTTGTGATTGGCCAGAGCCTGACTCTGGGGCCATTAGGAAGGAGAATGGTCAGATAGTTGGAAGATCTAGATTTTATTATTGGCACTGCCACATACTTGCTATGTGAGCTTATGCCAGTCACTTAACTGCTCTGTGCCTCAGTTTCTTGATCTGTTAAGCAGTGATAACAGTGCTTATCCTACATGCTTGTTGTGAAGCTTAGTTCATTCATGTTTGTAAAAGGCTTTGAGATCTTCTAATGTCAAGTACTACAAAGGTACAAAGGATTATGGTTGTTAAATATGTAGATGCAGCAGAAGATGCATTTATCTGAGATGGTATTTCACTGATTTTAACAGGTTTAGTGTTCAGAGCATACGACTAGTAATTAGGAAGTACACAGTTCATTTTTTGTCTATTCCACTGACACTCTGAAGGTTTGGGCAAGTCACTTAACATCTCCTTATCAGTTTTCGTAGCTGTAAAATCGGGACAATAAAGCTTAGCTTTCAACCAGTGAAGTTTAATTAATCAATGATTTAGTGTTTTGAAATTGTGAAGCAACTTGAAATTTGATATAAATGCTAAGTAGCAATCTCATTAAAAGCTGCTAGGATGTTCATTGTGCTTGGTATTGGTCATGGCAGTGAATGGTCTCTTATGACCAACTGTTAGCAATATATTTCATGATGGTTGCAATGTAAGTGATTACATTAATAAACAGGAACACCCCGCACCTATATTTGAATACTTAAATCAGCTCTTAGGCATGGAAAATGGGCAATTTCTTCAACATCTAAATATCTTCTTAGAAAATGCCTGTTTTACTCATTTAAATGTCTATCTGAGTATCCAGATGTGGGATCAGAATATTCTAGTAATGATTCTGATCATGTGAGTCATTTAGCATTTCATGTGCAGTGCTGAACCCTCTGAACTCTTAGTAAAGTAGGGCATGTTGAGGGTGCTTGGCAGTGCAGCTTATACAGTGCAGTTTTACTCTGAAAAGTGACTGTGTAAAAAAAGCATCATGTATCTCTGTTTATTGTGCTTCTTTGTTTTAATGCCTCCATTTCATGCATATTCCATTTTCTATGTTTCCAAGTAAAACTTGCAAGGCCCTCTTGGGTTCTAAAAGTCAAGCTGGGTTCTTTTTCCTGCATATGCATCACACCCATTAATAAAATTCATCTTCAACCAATTGCTCAAGCGTAGCTGAGAGCAGAATTTGACCCTGCTATTAGAACCGGGTTTGCAATTCTGCTGATGATATGGAACTCAGAGGAGAATCCAACTCCCACTCCCACAACTGTGCTGTGCTAACAGGCATAGACATTAATAAAGATTTATTTTTGTCATTAAGGTTCCATTTCCACAAAGTTTCACTGAAATTTTCACTTTCATGAAACCAAGTTTGAAAATTGAGCTCAAGGAGTGTCATAAGCTGAAAAAGTACAGTTCCAGCAGGAATCTGTATTTTTATTGGTAGCCAATCATTGTATAAAATTAATCCAAAATGAATAAAATGTATGGTTGTGTGTTTATTTTTTATTTAGTTGTTCCCAGAAACCCTTGCTAAAATTACAGCGTAATATCTTGTATCAAAAGATGTACAGTTTGTTTTGTTGCTTTCTCCAAGGAAGTGTTATGATCCAAACTTTATTGCTAATTTAATTTCCCAGTTGCATGGTGAATTTAAAGTTCAATTCAAGAAATACATGTAGTTCAAAACTTCATATTAATGGTTTTATCTAGTCTGTCAGTTACATGTCTTGTATTCTTTTCTTTCATGCAGAATCATCTTCGTCGGCCAGAATGCTGTCTGGATTTTCAAATTTGTTACATCTGTGGCCATGAATTTGTCTTTCAGTCAACACTGAATCAGAAATGCTTGGAAAGATGTCATGGAGATAAAAAGTAATTTACAGCAAGACGTTAGTTTATATGTTACATATGCAAAAATGATCAAAATACAAATCTTAGATCAGATGGAATGGTCAATATTTCCTGTATTTTCTTGAGATGAGGCACATAATATTTCTACCGTGGTTAACTTCAAAGATAGAGTGGGTTTTTTACTGCAAAACTGGTTTTATAACAGGTCAAATTTTTCAGTATATTTAATGTTCCTTTTGGGTGGCAGGGGCCTGATTCTCCTCTTACTTACTTAGTTTACATCAATATAACTCCACTGCCTACCATAGATTTACTTCAGGTTTAGACTAGTATAAGTGAGAGGAGACTTTGACCTTGCACTGTTATATATAGTTTCAGACACAGGTTGTCTAAAGTTTTTGTTTATCAAACTTAAATGTCATTGATAGTATTGTTGTTCCTTTAGTAAAATTGGGAAAGCATAGTAATCTTTCATGACCAAACTGCCCAACAGGGTAAGTGGGTTGTGAAATAGGAGATTTCTGTTCTGTTCTCACCTCATCTACTGTCTCTTGCTGAGTGGCCTAGACAAGGGTTAAACGCAGACCCACTGTAAACAGTTAGGTTAGTGGAGTGCACCCACTTACACCACTTCTGAATTTAGTGCTCTATTCCTCAATTCTTCCTCTACAAAATAAGACTAATACTTCTCTGGAGCACAAGAATGTTGTGAATATTAACTAATACGTGTAAAGCGCTTTTCGATTCTATAATTATAGGTGCTGTAGATATGCAAAGTATTATTATTTTAAGAGGGGCATAAAGATGAAAACAGGGGAGGCAAAAACTTGTGCCTCTGAGGAAAACAAGTAATGGGCAGATTGCTCCTTCCACAAGGAACTCCAGGGAAGGAAAATTCTATAAGGGGAATCCTGTGCAGTTACCTCCATGTTTCTTTGGGGGGAGGGAAGGCAGATTTCCATAGGAAGCAAAGGCCTTCTGCACAGAGCTTTTGTGCCTCTGCTTTGATTCTGGGGGTCCAATGGTCTCTCTCTATTATCTGCCTCTGGGTTCCAGTGGAGCTGTGCTTCAAGGAAAGGAAAAGCAATTTAGCAATGAGTTAGAGCTTTTTAAAATCACACAGGATGGAAGAGAGAGGACATGATGTATGTTTCCCTGGACTGCCCACCCATCCCACACTCATCCGTGGACCTACAGAGAGCTATCTGCAGGGTTATGGGTTAATGAAGGGTGGACACTGCTGACGAAGTTCGTGCACTAGCACTGGGAAATTTCATGAAGTATCGTTTTGGTCAGGAATGAAAGTAACAAATTCTGCGTTATGTTTACAGTTGTATGAAGCTCAGCAGTTTTGATTCACCCAGGTTCATACAAACCTTTTATCCATATTTTGCTTCTCATGGCTTTGCACCCTGCAAGTTTACAGTTTTGAGTTTCAGATTTATATAATAAAATAATTTAGCAGCTGATGTTGTGAGTCGACCATCTTAGATGGCCTTGCTTATTTGTATGGGACATGAAAGTATAGCATCATGGTAAGGTAAATGGAGTCTACTTTACCCCTGGTTGCCAACCTTTAACAAGAGATAGTGTTTATTAATTTCTTCTTATATAATTTGTTTCAGGATAAAACAAAGCAAAAAGGCAAAACAAAAAAACTGCAATAAAAACCCCCCACAAACTCCTGCCACTGAAACATCACAACCTGATTGCTGCAAATATGCCTCAACTCGATGCAGCTCCCGTACACTCTAGTAACTTCTAACCTGCGAAGCAAAGTCAACAAAAATGAGCATCACATTGAAAAAAGGCAATCTCAAATAAAGTAGAGAGAACATTCCTGGAACATTGTATTCTTCATGGAAACAACTGTAAAGAAAAAGAGTTTGAGCAAGCATAATAAAACTCTGCCAAGTGCTGGAAAGGTCCCTGCTAATATCTCTACCATTCTGCCTTCAAAACAGATTGCAACATCCAGTGTGTCAGATCTTCCCACAGTTTTGCCAGAAATAGTGAGTTTAGATTCCATAGTAAAAGCAAGCCCTGGGAAAAGGAGACCAGGCACTGTAATAATATCAAAACGGTCAAACACTGCAAGCATGTCTCAGAGTCAGTTGAATCGGCCAGTCATTCCATCAAAGAGACCTGGCTTTAGGGTGTGCTATATCTGTGGCAGAGAATTTGGGTCACAATCTCTTGCCATACATGAACCCAAATGCTTGGAGAAGTGGCATATTGAAAATGACAAATTACCAAAGCATCTCAGAAGAACAGAACCTGCTAAACCTCAGTCCCTTACTGGTGGCACCTATGATATTAAGGCTGCAAATGAGGCAGCTTATCAGAGTGCTCAAGCTCAGCTCTTACCCTGTGAAAACTGTGGCCGCACTTTTCTTCCTGATCGTCTCCCTGTGCACCAAAGGAGTTGCAGACCAAAGGATGGTGGCCTGGGCCCTTCAAGCTCTAACCCCCCTAAATCTGTTAAAGGCCCTAGCTCTGGCCTTGTATCTGCAGCACGTACTGATCAATCTAGTAAAGTTCAACAAACACGTGGGGCTGCACCAGCCATACCAGATAAGGTAAATTATTATGCATATGACCTATGAAAGAGACGTGATTGTTTTGCTATAGATACCCCAGACACTAGAGATGAATGAACTTTCATCAGATCTTAAATTTTAAGGCCTACTTCTTTCAAAGGCATCATTTTGCTCCATGCAAATTCTTCCCAGCTAAGCAAGGGTGGAGTAAGGCGGGGAATAATGCGTTCAGAAGGGAAGGCATAAAATATTCTAATCCTATTTATCCCTGTTTCTTTGATCTTTCTTGTTGAAAGGATATATTTGGGTTCTCATTTTCCATGTTCCTGTGGGAGATGTATCCCCAGAAGAGGCCATTATGCACTATAGGTCATTAAGAGATTATGGCGAGCTGCTTAAGCAGGCTTTGCATTTTCTAGTATGTTTTAACGGACATCAGATGTTTGTATTTAATTAACACGAGCCCTAATGTTTCTTTGTACTTTAATCATTCCAGAGATTTACATTTTTTAAATGTTAGACTTAACCATGAATAAAATCATTGGGTTTTGCATGTTCAAAGCCAGCAACCCAGAATACAATGAAAAATAAGTAAACAGACTGCAGTTTTTCTACTGAATTTGATGAAGGAGCCAAGATTAATGGGACCAATTCTCGCTCCAATTTATATGCAAGAAGCTACATGAACATTAACCAAATAGAGCCTATATATTTTTGTTTCTGTGCCAACTTTGGAATGGTACTTTATTTTGGCTGAAATTTTAAAAAAATGCCTACAGTTAAGTATCTAGATTCATAAGTAGGTGCCTAAATGAATGGCCTGATTTTCAAACAGGGGCGACTCTATGTATTTTGCCGCCCCAAGCACGGCAGTGAGGCAGCCTTTGGCTGGTAATGCGGACTTGCCGGCATGCCTGTGGGAGGTCCGCCGGTCCCGCGCCTTCGGTGTACCCGCCGCCAAATTGCCGCCGAAGCCACGGGACTGGCGGACCTCCCGCAGGCATGCCACCGAAGGCAGCTTGACTTCCGCCCTCACGGCGACCAGCAGGCCGCCCCCCGCGGCTTGCTGCCACAGACACGCGCTTGGTGCATTGGTGCCTGGAGCTGCCCCTGTTTTCAAAAGTGCTGAGAATCCAACTTCATTTGCTTTCAGTGGAGTCACACTACTGTAAAAAGAAAATGTGCATGGTCCACTGGTTACCGCATTAGTCTAGCATTCAGGAGACCCATATTCACATCCTTATTCTGTCACAGATTTCCTACAAGACCAAGTAAGTCACTTAGGCTCAGATTTTTAGAAATATTTAGGTGTTGCTCTAATCAGCATTGCAGTGCCTAAGTCCCATTTTAGTCACCTTTGAAAATGGGACTTAGGCCTTGCAGTGCTGAGTGGGGCAATGGCTAAATACCTTCATAAATTTGGGCCTTAGTATCTCTGTGTCCCAGTTTCCCATCTGTTTAAAAAAATGTGTCTGGGGAGGGGGCTATAATAGTACTTCCCTACCTCACAGGGGTGTTGTGAGGACAAATACATTAAAGATTGTAAGTCACTCAGATACTACAGTATTAGGAGCTATATAAGTACATAAGATAGATAGACAATGGTGAATAGATAGTAGGGTTCTTCAGCACATGTTCACATGGCATAGGATGTATGAAGTAATGCAAAATGCTATATATATGAGTATCTATGGTTGTAGAAAAAAATACATTAACCTTGTATTGTTACATTGTCTTATCAACCAAAAACTTGTATCATTATGTAATATAGTGTAATTGTACAATGAAATACTATTATAATGCATATGAGTTAGTTACTCTTTGCGTATAATTTCATGTTTACTGAAGAAGAAAAATTAATTAAAATAAAAATATTTTGAAAAAATTAAAAGAAAAGAAGTCCATAATTATAGTGATGCAGAGAACAGATTCTATGGAAAAAGTCACTTTGTAAAAATGTTATCCTCTTACTCAACAGATGTGTGTACATTCAGTCACATATGTTGACTTGATTGGCAAAAATAAGTTATTACTGCTTTTTACTCCTCTTAATACTGCACAGTCAGTGTAGCCAAGATGATGTGAATTGGATTTTAATCTTTCTTGTGCATCATTACTTTGTTTACTTAGTTCTAGTCAGTTACACCTGTTCATTCCACTGACATTGATGGGGGCTGTACATGTCTGACTGACAGTGTAATAATATTAGTGATGATGCACAAGAAGCAAAGAAACCAGCTTGATTTTCAGGTCTGAGGCTGAGTTTGCAGTGCTGGCCACTAGAAAAGAAATCTCTTCACTGGTAAATTGAATGTATCTAGTATGGGAATTCTTCAGCAGTAATAGACAAGGAACCACACACTGCATTTTTACATTTACAGAACCTCTCTTCTATGTAGACCTGAACTTTAAAAGCAGAGATGGGAGTGGAAAGAGAGAGAGAGAATTATAATGGGAACGTCATCTCAATCCTCTGAGTAGCAAAAAGACCACACAAGAAATAGACCATCTGTTGAGCTTAATTTTTAGTCATCTTGTCCAGTTTTCACTGTATTTTTCCAGCAAATACTTGTAACTATTGTTCACTTTGCCAGCTACACAACGATTTACTAATATGTTAATATTATGTTAAAAATAAATAATGGCTAATTAAGTAATAGCAAACAGCTTTGCTGCATAGAGGGAAAGTGCTGGGCTGGTGGCAGGAGAAGTTTGGAAAGTACAACATGCAGTCATACCTAGTTAATGCAAAGTAGAAAAAGCCTGTTCACCTGAGGAAATGTTGCCTCAGGGCATGTCCGTTGAGGGACAGGAGAAGGATCAAAAGAAATTAAGAGAGGACTTCTTGGTGGGGAAAATAATCCTGGGCAGTCCATGTTATGTTTATCCAAACTTCTTTGGTCCAGAATCAGCAAATCAATTAAGCACATGCGTAAAATCAAGTGTTTTGCTGAATCAGGTCCTTTTATGAATATTTAGTAAAATATATATATTAAGAGAGCCTCTCTGCCAACCTTTACATTAACATTTATAATCAGCACAGAGACCATCAATACTCCAAAGTACATAAACTTGCATACCCCAATTCCGGGCTAGCACTAGCCAGAGGAATCTCATGGCTGCTCTAATTTGTCCCTGTTGCCAGTGGTCTAAAGGAGCCATTACAACTGAGTATCACTGAAATGAAGGGATGTCCTGCCACATACCTTCCCCTTGCCAAGCCCCCTGTGCAGGGAGTTGGATCAGAGGGTGAGGTAGGGACAGTTATACAAACTCTGCATCACCTGGGGATTTTGCCACACTGGGAAATCCTGAACCAGTTGGTATCATTAAAGCACCTCTTGGGCTCCTATGTGTGACCAAAGCAGCATAAAGCAACCATGGGGAAGCAAAGGATCTGGCCCTCTGTTTTTACGCTAGCTCTGATTTTCTTCTAATCCTCCGCCAAATCTTTTGTCCAGCTGTAGAGAAAGCTAATTGGTATATTACTGATTTGTTAGTTCAAAGTTGTTTTTTAATCCAAAGTATGGATTTTAATGGAAACTATGGACTCATTTGCATTAATTGGGTCTGACTGTATATAAACCAAACAATAGCCTATGCCTAATTGACTTTCAGGGATTAAATCAGTTCTGAAATTCTTCTTCTTGGATCCTATTTGGATTATATAGTGATACATTAGATGTTATTAATAAGGCACATAATTATATTCTTTAAATCCAGTCCAGTACAACAGAGAATGCACTACTCTTTCACAGAAAAAAATGGTTGCTACTTACTATGCAGATTGATATTAATTAAGTGCTATAAATGTTCTTTTTCCGCTTTCTTTGGCAACAGATGGTGATAACTTTAATCCTAAAATCCTACCAGCTGTATGTCTAGCATCTGGTGCTGCCATCTGCTGTTTATTCCCTACTGTAATGTTTTACCGACAAAATAAAAATGTTAGCCACCTCTCTCTTCTGCATTACTGTACATCTTAATACAGAATCAGTCTGGTACTCCATCAAAATTTTTACACCATTCACTTGATCTTGCACAAAACTGTGTAACCAGTTCATAGAATTAGAACTTTTTCAAATAGAATGTATTGCCAAACAACATGGGCCTGCTCCTGCTCTCATTGAAGTAAATGACAAACTCTCCATTAATTTCAGCAGGAGCCAATTTGGACACTTTTTGTTAGAAGGTAATTCACAAAAATATGAGGAAATAGAAAAGGATAGATAAAAATGGACAATAAAAGATTTGAATGAGTTTCATTAAGAAATATCATGGTGGGTATGGAGGTTCCCCTCTCTCCTCTCTATATAAGTACCGTGCACTTTACTTCTGAGTTTTAAAAAGGTAGCAGTTTTGGAATAAAATGGAAAACTCAGATAATTCCCATGCAGTTACATATGCATTTATCTACAGTGTCAAAAGAATTACCTTTTTGTTACTACACTTAACTAGATAAATATAGGGGTCAGTTCTGGCTTCTGTACTACACCATTCCAGTCAATATGGCCAATCCCCCACTGAGGTCATTATGACAGCCTGTGACAAAGAGACAATCTTTATGTTACTAATAAGATTCATACTAGAGACTTCCATCCCTTACGCTAATGTCCTTAAGTGTCAGACAGGTTGGGATGGGTGAAAAAAAGTCTACTTTCTAGGCGCCTGATTGTGCTATTAATCTTTTCTACTTCTCCATTGTTCACATGTGAGCAGCACTGGTCAGAATTCTGATCCCCTGTCATTCAGTTAGATAGATAATTTGGTGAGTGGGAACTTTTGACTCTTCTACTACTAGATGAAAAATTATTATGCTCTTTAGGGAAGTTTGCGACCCAGTCAAATTGAACGCACCATAACAAACCAAAAATATACCTCTAAGGTAAGTACCATGTTCTACAAAACAGGCTTGGAAAAAGAAATGACATATTTTGTTCATTGTTGAAAATATATAGCCTTTGAGTTTAATTCTTGTATTCATGGTAGTGAAGACAATAAATGGTCATAACCATGTAAAAAAGGACACCTACAAGAAAAGAGTCTTAATGACTTTGTCAGGTATTTGTAGCTATTTTTATAAGCACATAGTTCCTCATGACACTGGGCATTAATGTGATCACTCTTTTTACAAGTGAAAAACAAAACCATGAACAGTAAGTAGCAGACTATTTAGTCACTGTCCTATGAATAGTCTGGGTTGGAAAATTCCTTGAACTGGGATCTGATGATTTCCAAAAATAATTTACTTCCACAACGATCATTCCAGATGTGACATTTGGGCAGGACAGTTTAAGGAGGAATAGAAATGAATGTTAAATACCAGTGGTTTTAAAAATCCCAAAGAAACTCACCATCCCAAAGATTCCATAGTTTAACAATCATCTCTTATTACAAACAGCAAGGAGAATTCTCTTTCACATTTTGTATTTTAGTTAGCTCTGGTACATGTATCTGTGGAGGTGGGAGAGAATTTAACATGTAGCATGGGTTCAGGACGGGTATCGTTCCAACCTGAAGGTGATCTAATTCAGTTCTGATGTTTCTCTCTGATCTTCAGTTTTCTTTAGAAAAATATTTGCATGCTGTTGAAAATTACAATAAGGAGCCATTTTTTTCTTACCTTTTTTTTAAAGTGAGTTTTTAGCATCTGAACAAAGTCCAAGTGCTAGACTTCTGGCTACAGAACAAATACAGCTTTTATCAGACTTCCCTACACTCCTCCAGCTATGATCTGGAGGGACAATTTCCAGGGCTTGGTTAGATATGCTTATTCAGTCTCTAGCCTTTCTGCTGAGAGTGCCAGAAAGAGTGCCAACTGCAACAGTGAGTTTTGTGATGTGGATGTCTTTTTGTGACGTGGCTGGCACAGGACTGAGACTACTAACTCGTTCCCATGTAAGCCACTAAGCAGCCATTCGATGGCAACTTTTTGCAGTGTTGTAGCTCTGTGTAGTATGAAAGCTTGTGCCTTCCACCATCAGAAGTTAGTCAAATAAGAGATATTATCTCACCCCCCCTTGTGTCTATCCAATGGTAATGACAGTCAGTCACTTCAGAATGAAAGTGTGGTAGATCTGACATAAAAGGTTACCCCTCTCCCCTAGGGAAACATTTTTACAGAGAAAGCTATTTGCTTTGCTTTGATGATGACACTTTTGTGTTCTCCCCCAATATCATTGGAGGTATCTTATTTTAAATAATTATTTTCTCCTGAATCAAACTACTCTTTTTCTGCTTGATCACATACTTAAACTATAATTTTTTATTTAGTATGCTGATCCACTGCCATGGACATGACTGTGACAGTACGAGTAGAAGGCTTTAAATCTAGCTAGCTGAAGAGTAATGAAGTGACCTCCATGAATTTTCAGCCCAGAGTCTGGGGCACCGGTTCAAATGGCCATTTAATAAAGGAGGGACCTTTATGGGTTTAGGGCCTGAACCAAAGCCCACTGAAGTCAAGAAAAAGACTCCCATTGATTTTCGTGAGCTTTGGATCAGTTCCTTAAAATGATCATTTTCCATTAACATCACTACTGTCTAAAATGAATTCTGAAAACAATAATGTTTCTTTACTGCAATTGTTGTTTGCAGCCACCAGTGATCAGGCGGCCACCCACTGTTGTTTGTTACATATGTGGCCGTGAGTTTGGAACTAAATCTATTGGCATCCATGAACCACAATGTCTGAAAAAATGGCATAACGAGAATGACATGCTACCCAAACATTTACGAAGACCTGAACCTAAAAAGCCAGAAGTCAGATCCTTAGGAGGTAAGCTACCGACCAAACAAGAGGAACTGGGAGGTTGTAAGTTGGAAAAAAAAATAGGTTTAAAGAGAGCTAAATGTTTTACATGTAATTTTGTCTTCATTCATATGAAACTATCTACTCATGATAGAGTTTAGCTTGTTTAAAGCATCCTATTTTTTCTTTTGCCAAATCAGTGTCAGTTAAAGGTGCTCTGTGCCTCTCAAGAAATGACCCTTTATATGTCAATCACTTTTGAGTCTAAAACCAGTCATTTGCAATCTTCATAATTAAGCCCTTCACTGGGATTACTTTTGGCTACTTTCTGTACCATAGGAAGGCACATTTTCAAGCAGGACAGCTCATCCAAGAACAATATGCAAGTACGACTATTACAGGGTTCAGAGTGCAATCCAGACCAGTCAGGGTGTGACTGTGGTCACTGGAGAGGCCACACTGAGAATGCTCAATCCAAGTGAACTGCAAAGAATGGGGCAAATCCCCCAAACTGGTGGTTTAATCTTATAATTAGATTCACCAAGCCAGTCACAAAACAGTTTCTGTAATACCTTACTGGTTACCAAGAAACTAAAATCCAGTTCCCAATAAGCAATCCAGCCTTTGGCTCCCACCCAGACAGCCAGGTCAAGTATGGTGTGGATTACTTAAAATCTTATTAACCATATATAAAGTTCTACCAATCCTAAGAGATCAGACACATTACCCACCAGTTCAATGAATATTTCAGATTTTACACTCTTACGGCCAATTTTTATTAACTAATCTAAGATTTATTTAAAAAGAAAAGAAAGCATTACTGTGGTTAAAAGATCATTATACATACAGATATCAATAAAGTTCTTAGGTCATAGCAAAGGTGGTGAGCTGCTGATTTGCAAAAACTTCTTCCAGAATCAGTTTAATAATAGGCAGTCCATGTATAGATGTTGTTCAAATTCTTCCATAAGAATTTGCAGGGACAGTTCAGAGTACCAGGAGACCTCAGTCTTGTGGCTTGAACTTCCCCTGCCAAAGTTTAAGCAGATCTGAGATGGCAAGGATCAGCCCCTAGAGTTCTTTTATAGTCCTCTAGAAGGCTATGATAGCCTTTTGACAGCAGATAACACAGTGGGCATTCCTTGATTGAAGAATAGGTAATGCACATTGTTGCTTTGAAGTAAATCTCTATTTACTATACACAGACCAGTAAATAGATGCATTTATTAGTATAAGGTTATTAACCATTTAAGCAGTTCATAGGTAGTTTTACTACAAATTTGAAGAGACATAAAGACAATGATATTATTACACCACAATTTTCATCTAAATATTAATATTCCCATTTGATCTCTGAATCCATAGAATATAGTAACAGGAACAGACGTTTATCATCCACAAGCTAATATGGTTACATTGTTAACATCTAACAAGATAAAAGTAAACACAGACAAATACAATTAGCATCTTCTTCTAATTCTCTAACAATACGGGTTTACATTTCAAATAATTTAGTCTACTTTAACATGGCTTTGATAACTGCCTACAAGAATGGCTCTGTTTATCATTTCAATACTTCTCTAATATGTCCTTAAGGTTGATTTTGGGTCTCTACAGCCCTCCTCCCTGCAGCCTCCTTTCTGCTACCAGCTCCCTGATCTTTATAGAAGCCCCACCTGTCCTGAACAGATGAATTTCCCTTGATTAGGGCTTTCCTCTCAGCCTAAAAGTCCCCCAGTTTGCAGCTGAATTGGCCCATCTGACCTATGTTACTCCCTTCAGTTACATGAGGAGCACACTGCATCACAGTCTTCTGTTGTTTTGATTCCAACATGCTTAATTTACATAGGAGACAGGTAAATAGCTGCCTTCTCTCCTGTCTGGGAGGGAATCTGTTTCTCCCTGTTTGGCCACAGACTTTAAAACATAGTCTCAATGAATCTTAATAATTCCTTATATAGTGTTAATACAGGCATTTCACAATGATATTAATCACCAGGGTGTCATTAGCTTTGAGAAAAGACCTCGCTCTATACACTTTTTTTAATACAATAATATTGTATAAAATCAGTTGATGCAATTGCTTATCACTTGAGGTTCAGACCCTGTCTTTATAGACACGTAAACCTTTTAAATGAATTCTTCTGAGGGTTACCCCTCAAAGTAAAATTTATTCAAGCTTGTAAGGAAGGCAACAAATAGTCTGGTGCTGAAGGAGCTTCGTGCTCTTTCTTCCCTGGCTTGTGTTTGCTGAAATGCAAATTGTTCTGTTTCCTGACATCTTTTCCCCCTGCTGTCTTGACATTTACTGCTTGTATGTAAATTGAGGTAAACACACCTTCCTTCGTTTAAGTTAGACCTATTTAACAACTCTTCCTGACAGACCTGGTTTAAACACTCTTTGGTCATAATTCTAGCATATATCCATATCTTTTAATACCCACTGGGTACATACATCACACAGGAATATTAAAGATCAGTCAGATATAAGTTTTCAAATGATACCTCACAAGGCATATTTTGTACAAAGAATATTACAACAGTATGTAGGGTGTGAATACATGAGGTGCTTAGTGTCACACTGACATATGCATTCATTAGAACAAAATATCTTCAGGCAAGAGTAACTTGGGGACTGATACCTCAGCCAGCTTTTACACCTATAATGTTGGCCATTTAAAAAGAAACTAACTAACATTTGCCAATGGTAACCACACAATGGCATCTGAGATACCAGAGTTTTAACCCTACCCTAGTAGAAATACCAATGCTAACTATGTAGTAACTACTAGCACATGTTGACATTTTAAAAGCAGCTACTGTATACACTACACTACAGTACAGCAAATTGCTCTTCATTAAATATATATATTATATTACGTTATGCAACAAGACACTTGCTATGGTCTTTCTACTGTCTCTAAACCCTAATAGCTTATGTGACAGACCCAGACCAGTGGAGTACAGGAGTCTGGTAGAGGGCAAATATACTGGTCACTGGATGAGTAGTTTTCTGTTCCCTGAGTGACCAGAGCAGGGGCTGAACTAGAGTAATCAGGAACCTGCTAGAACCAGTTAAGACAGGCAGGCTAATTAGGACACATGGAGCCAATTAAGAAGAAGCTGCTAGAATCAATTAAGGCAGGCTAATCAGGGCACCTGGGTTTTAAAAAGGAGCTCACCCCAGTTTGTGGTGGGAGTGTGAGGTGCTGGGAGCAAGAGGGTGTGGGTGTGCTGCTGGAGGATTGTGGAGCACAAGCATTATCAGACACCAGGAGGAAGGTCCTGTGGTGAGAATAAGGAAGGTGTTTGGAGGAGGCCATGGGGAAGTAGCCCAGGGAGTTGTAGCTGTCATGCAGCTGTTACAGGAGGCACTATAGACAGCTGCAGTCCACGGGGCCCTGGGCTGGACCCTGGAGTAGAGGACAGGCATGGGTTTCCCCCCAAACCTCCCAATTGACCTAGACTGTGGGTTCTCCCAGAGGGGAAGGTCTCTGGGTCAACCCACATCGTGAATCTCTGAGGCAAGAAAATTGGCCAATAAGCACAGGACCCACCAAGATAGAGGAGGAACTTTGTCACACTTAATACAAATACATTTCCCACTGTGACATATGGAAGCCTAACTACAGTGGAAAATACTGTATGTGATATAAAATAAACATTCATTTCCTCTCACTTATTCAATGATTGTAATTTTGGGCCTGATTCTGCAAGGTGCTGAGTTTCCTCCCTTCACCTCCTCAGATTAATGAGAATTGGCAGTTCCCAGTACCTTGCAGGTTTGGACCCTTACATTTACTCGGTGCGTATGTCTTCACAGCAGGGTTAGCTCCAGCTGTTATGAGTGTTGCCTGTAAGCCTCCCTCCTGTCCACACATTAAAACCCTCTTTCCCATGTTTAGTGATGCTTTCAGTCTGGGTTTGCTGGCAAGTTTGGGGTGTGGGTTACAGCCAGGGTTCTGTTTTCACTCAGGCTGGTGACCCACCCAGTTTGCAGTGAGGGTTTAGGCTAACTCATTCAAGTGCTGATAGCCCTCCAGTGTCTTCCCACATTTTCCCCTGTAGAGTGGCTCTGCACAAAGAACCATGGGATATGCTCCCAGGAGTCTCAGCAATGGATACAGGTGAGTGAAGCAACAGTGAGGACACAGTAATTTGAGTATTGTTTTGCAGTATGGCTGCTCTCAGCCAGGCTAGGCTAACCTGAGTGCTGATTACCCAAGATAATCCTGCAGTGAAGACATACTCTGAGAAGGCATTTTCATTTCATTAGCTCTTTTATGATCATCACTTTTATTACTACATACTGAGAGTAAAAATGAGAGGAAAAAGATAGAGGACTAGATCTGACAGAGGAGGACATGGCTGGGTAAAAAGGGCTACTTCAAGGTTTTGTGGAACAGCAGTGTTCTGAGCCACTAGTTATCTTGGGGAAGTGGGAGGAAAAGAAGGTATCTACTCTTAAAGAAATAGGCACATCCTGCTGTGCTGATCTATGAATCTACACATTGCCTCACTCCTACAGGGTGTTGAGTGCCTACTGTGAGGTGCTGTGTACCCACAGTTCCCAAGGAGGCACTTGATTGTTTCCACAATATGGTCCTAAGTTGCTGCTGATAGTTTTTGCTCAAACAGTGTTATTCAACCTATGTGCTTCCCACTCTCCTGTCCCCAAGAAAATAATCTTTCTTTTGTTCTTTTTTTGCTAAGATGATTCCAATCATCCAGGAAATGCTAACTACCCCCAAACTACACACACACACCCCACATGTCTCTCCATTTTATAAATGGAGGAGGGGTGTAGCCTTTGGGGGGAATGGAACAAGCAGTGCTCTAAACCAAGAGAGGTACAGAAATGAGATCTGTTTACATAAAGCTTTTCATAGTTTACATTATTATTTTTTTAAATAAGTGTGACTGGAGAGAACCACTGGACTGATTGCAGTTTTTTTGTTTTCTGAATGCAACAAATGCCTGTAGGGAGAAAGTCACCTCCTTTCCTTTTCTCTCTCTCTCTCTCTCTCTTTATTCAATAAACTTTCCAAAGTACAGAAAATACACATTCATTTCCTGCAAATGAAAGGGGTATTTGCCTCAGCCAAAGAAAGAAACATCAGTCGGTTGCTCATCTAACAAAAAGAACATTAGGAACAGGCATATTAAGAGATCTAAGGCTTATTGTGGTTATGTGAACTGTTGGATATGAATCATATTAAAACTGCCTGGGCCCTATGAAGAGATCCATATCGTGCCAGTGACAGAAACCATGGAATATTTTAAAAATGCATGGGACCTTTTTTAAATAGACTTGTGCTCGCAGTTTGAAGACAAAATTTATTTAATTCCTTATAGCCACCATCTGTAGTATTGTATACCTTCTGGTCAGGTTAAAACTCATACATTTCAAATCTAGCCAGATTATTTTTTTTCCTCGTGCCCTTCAAATGGGATCTAGATGCAGTTGTTGAGACTAAAGCATTGGTTAAACAACCTAGCTGTTCTGCCTGGAAATGTGTTTAAAACAATCATTTATTGTAAGGTGAAAGAAAACAAGGTTTTATGATATAAATTATGTAGCTGAAATACACTCCAGCTAGCTCTTTAGAGCCTGATCCTATACTCTTAATGCAGGTAAACTCCCACTGAAATAATTGTGAGTAAAAGTTGAACAAAATATGACGTGTTTAGGAAAGGACTGCAGAACCAGTCTCAATGACCTCAGTGGGTGTTTTGCCTGAGTAAACACTGCAGGATTTGTCCATAAGAGGTTTTGGGCTAATCTCACTCCTATTCAAGTCAATGGCAGTACTCTTATTGACTTAAATTGGAGAAGAATTGGACCCTTTGCTCAGACTAGCACAGATGGGACATACCCAACATAAATTTCCTCCCATCCCCTTGGTCAGATAATACAGACTCATTAAGCAGAACTTGAAATAAGGCCAAGAAAGCAAAACTTGCTGATTATAACATGCATGCAAAGATGTTAATAATTAGTAAAGAATTCATACCATCACACACAGGGCAATGTTTTCTCCTTGCTTTAATACAATACAGAATGATTGAGTTTGTAGTTAACTTTATTCAACCCCTGGGACTATAAGCAGGGCATTTTTTTTTTGCAAAAGCAATACGATTTGGTTAAAACTAAAAGGCTCAGTCAACAGGTATTTCCTGAAAATATTTTCCATAAAGAGCTGAATATGGTTCTCCAGAATGAAAACTAATACTTTCTTTTTTAATTTTCCAGCCAAAGGTTTCTATGATCTCGATGCTCTAAATGAGGCTGCCTGGAACAGTGCCCAGAGCCAGTTAGTTCCATGTGATATTTGTGGGCGTACTTTCCTGCCAGACAGACTGATTGTCCACCAGCGGTCCTGTAAACTGAAACCAGCAAAGTAAAGCACACCGCCCCCCCACCCCCACCCCAACACACACCTTCCAGCCAAAGCATTAAAGGAATAAAATCCTGCTTGGAAATAAAAGGCATAGCTCAGGGGCTCTGTAAAATCACAGTGATGTGGAAACATGTTCAGATCATCTCCTAGGTAAAAACAACAGTAGCCACTATAATGTAGGCCAATCAGTGATTTTTTTTTTTTAGCACATCATTATAGAAATGGAAGACATCTCTCATCATTTCTGTGCTCTGAGAGATGCAGCACAGAGCTCACAGTTCAGGGGTGCCAGTAAGGTGCCTTTAAGCCACCTTTGTGCCCTCCTGAGCCTGTGCTATTCTGGGGGATTACCGTTCACTCCAGAGCAAAATACCCCAGCAATCAGAAGAGAAGCACCCAAATACATCATCTATAAATAGCAGAGAACTCCCTGTCTCAAATAATGACGCGGGGAGAATATCCTGCAGTACTGAGTGATGGTAGCTGGGCTGTGGCTCCCTGCCCCGCTCCCATGTAATTTACTTCTTGGGTTTAATATCCTCAATTTTTAAGCTCTGACTGGAACTATCAAGCTTCCTACCTGTATCTTGTGGAGGGGAGTCAGATGTAGGGTGAGTCACATGGTTTAATAGTCCTAGTGGGTGTGTGTGGGGGAGCAGCTAGAGGAGCCAAGTGTAGGCTGAGCATAAAGCTTAGCAGAGCACAATAGTCTCCCTTCATACCAGCACTTCCGTCACTCCCTCTTCCTGAGTTTTCCTGTTTCCTTGGTAGCAGATTGCTCTTTCCCCAGGAATAATCAATAAATCAGCCTGCAGCAGTTCCAGCACCTTGGAGTTGTACAGTTTGCATGGCTCCTAAGGACACAGGTATACTGTGCTGACTTAAGCCATCTCTCCATTAAAACATAAACACAGAACTTTTTTGTTACCTACCATAGAACCATAATTTTAAATCACACTGTAAGACTAAGCTATTTAGCCTGCTTAAGCTGGCCTAAGTTTAAGCACCCTGGCCCAAAGTACACTTCCCTGTCAATGAGAGAGACATCCATTGACTTCAATGGAATTTGGATCAGACCCTAAAACCACAGGCACCTACTTTCCCCATCCATTGCAACGATGGAGGAGGCATCCATAATCAGGTGACAAAGTGCTGGTAGGTGCAAAGGGGGAGGCTGGTCAGCACAAGCTACCATGGGGTGGGGGTGTGGGGGTGGGGGTGTTTGGCCCCATCCTAAACCATACTGGTAAGCACTAGGAGGTCTGTACTAGGGGCTTTATCCTGCTCATTGCAATCAAAGGTAAAACTCCCATTGACTTCAATGGTTCAGGATCAAAGTGCTAGCAGAAGACATGGGGATGTGTGTTGTATGGGGCAGCACTAGAGAGGTTTTTTTATTCCAACATTTCAAAGAACGCTATTGTGTCCCAGAGCAGAGTCAGAGTCAAAGAGCACCAGTGAAAGGGTTAAACATGTGAAGGAAGTAATATATACTCTAATAGAATTGCAGCAGAGAGCACTTTTTTGTACCTTACTCTAAAGTGTTTTATTAAGTGGCCAGGGAGGTTACTGTGAAATGTATGACAAAATCCAATACGTGTTGTTAAGCAATCATAAGAACTTCCTGAACTGCTGAAAGAAACTGGATCACTTATAAGTTTTCACCTTCAGTTTTAATGCCATTAAGCTGGTTGTATGCATCCTGTGACAAATGTGACTATTCCTAGAGTATTTGCACTTATTGTAGCATTTATAAAAATCAGATATAAGGAACTGGATATCTTTATGTACTCTGGAATGACAGATGGGCTTCAACTAATCTCCCCCCCACAAGCTATCAGTCTGCACAATTTGCCATGTAAGCAAAACAAGAAATAGCATCATTGTTCAGCTGTTAAGGGAATGCCCCTGCCCGAGCCCCGACACAAAGTTAATCAAATTGGGACAGATATCGGCATTCTTTGCTGAAAATAATTTCCCAAACAGTCAAGCACCTCAGCAGCCCTTTCATCTCCAGGAGGGGAATTTTATTTTCTCTTGTTACGTATTTCCTGAAATCAATGGACCAGTTCCTGCTCTGCAATGCAAAGCTCCATAAACCCAACAGATCCAGCCCCTTCAATATCTTCATTGCATTGTACAGAATTCTTGGGTGGCATTAGAGCTACTTCACCTCTTTTCCCTGGGACTGGTGGAGGGGGTGTAGCAAGGGGAAAGAGGGCTTGGCCAGGTTGTTCCCATGCACCAGCCATTTGTTGCTGCTAGATCCACCCCCAGAGGCTGTTGGCAGCCTGAAAGCTACTCTCTTTTATTCTGGGGACTGGCCCAGTGCAAAATGGCATCAGGATTGGAGGAATTGGCAACGGTGGCTTAAAATGACCTTTGTGGCCCTCCTCCTCAGATATGGTAAGCAATGCTTTACTGCAACTGAGGAACTGGGCCATCAAGCTTCATTCCAGCTCAATTTCAAGAGCAGAAATGGTTTTTAAAGGGACCAAGGACCCTTAAGGTAATCAATTTATTTGCTGACATTGAAAACTAAATATGAGGTAGAATCTAAGATCAACTGTCAATGGGATTTAGGCTCCTTATTGCCTAATTTACTTTTGCAAATGGGACTCCTGAGCCTAAGTAATGTGCTATTTTGCAAATGTTACCCATAATGACTGACACTAGCTTCATGTAAAGCTCTCCCTACATCCGCCTACTCATCTCCCCAAACTGTGTATCCCAAGAGTAGAACTGAGCTGTTTGAAGGGCTGTGCACATGGGGTGTTCACGCATACTTGTGTGGATCATGTCTTTGGACTCCTGAGCTTTACCACAAAATTCCCCTCTACAAGGTTCCTGTCACAGCGACCTGAAGAGTGACTGCTATGCAGGCTTTTGGGGGAGTCAGATTAGGGCTGGCAAACTTCTGCTTTATGCCACTGCAGGTGTGTGTGGGCTTTCTGGCAAGTCTGCCAGGCCTGCCAAACTTTGGGGCCATGAGTTTGAAAGCTGTTGTGCTATTGAAATGGAAAGTTAGAGTTTAATTAGAGCTTCACAGTACAAAGTGAAGTAACTCCTGTTAATATAGCAGCGCTTGCTTTATATATTTATATTTGTGAGATTGAAAATGTAAAGGGAGCTGGTAGCCTGATAGTGCAGTGGCAGCACAATGGTTCTCACACCTAAGGGACCCGAGATCAAAGTCTAAGCTTTTGTACCAACAAGATGGGAGCACTATGGAGGTATCACACACCTGGGCTCTGGGTGGAGAGCAGACACTCCATATCACATCACTCTCTAACACCATCCCTGAGGTAGATGGAAAAAGGAGTACCACCAGCTAGTTCTAGGACTAGTCCTCTTCAACCAGCACAAGGATGTGGGCCCCTTGGGGGAAAGTAGATAAAAAGGCCTGGATGGGGAAGGAACCATTCCCCAGAAACTGGGAGAATCTGATAGGATCATGGGTGAGGAATGCAATGGATCTTTTGATCATTTTTGGTGATGGTTTTGTGAGTGTGTCTGTATGTGTGTGTTTGTGCCATGCTGGAGACAACAGCCCTCTGTTTATCCATATATGAGGTACAGCAGAGGCAATAGCGTGGCAGGTTCTTCACACAATCAATCCCAGCAATCTGCCTCAAAACTGATGCTGAAGAGGATAGCTTGATCTCCAGCCTTTGTCACTGGCCTCTCTGCCAGCCAGAATACTAGACTTGTGCCAAGTGCAGTGGCAACTTTTATGTCAACATTTGCCCAGTGAGTTCTGCACTGATACCATCAATTCATTTCACAATTTAATTCATTTTCAGCAGAACTAAGCTGTGATCTGTCCAGCATTTTCCATATTTATTTGGCATTCCTCCTTTAACCTTCTTTCAGAAGGGGAAACAGGAAACAAAAAAGCAAAGCAGTTAACTTTCTTTGCTTTTTAGCATTGTTTACTGTTCTTTGGCTACTTATCACTTTTTCTTATCACACATTCAGTTGTCTTATAGTGGGTCCCACTTCAATCCTATGTTTCTGCTGACCCAACATATAATTGTTCTAAAGATCTGAAAAATGTTTTCCTGCACTTAAAAGAAACAAAGAAAGTCCATTTAGTTTGCAATGACTGTGCTGATAGCAACTAAAAACATACCTAGGCAAGGGTTATAAAAAGTCAGAACACAAGCTAAAATATTACTGATCCTCATGCAAGGTTCAGAACATGCTAAGAGAATGAATGTCCTCCTTTAAACAAAGTCATTTTTATAAAAGATATAGATCCAGAGTTGGAGCCTAATGGTCATTGAAGGCAATGAAATTCTTGACTCCAGGAAGGGACTCCCAAAGTCCTTACTCAGGCAAAACCTCCATTTCCTGTGGAATTACTAAAAACTGGATAAGGACTTCAAGATTTGGCCTAACAGGGGAAAAAAATCAATTGCATATGAATAATATGTGTAAAATGTTTGTGTCTAGCTTCAGAGTGACACATTATATTAATATATTAATAGCCATGAGAATTTTATCTGAGAAAGATCTCCAGCTTTCTCAAATGTTAGTGGCAAAGCACATTGGAAGTGATCAAAACAATCCAAGGTGTGACTCCTTCACTACCTACTCAACTTTATTAATGAATGAATGTTTATGACAAATGCCTACAAAGGAGAAAATGTGGCAGTGCAATAATTGATTTTGTTCATGTAAGCGGAAAAAACACACACATATATATATATATACATAAACGTTTTGCAAAATTATTTCATTTTAAACCTTTTTGCTAGTAAACATTTTAGCTGCAAAAATTGTTTATTTTTATATATAAAAAGTTGCTAAATCATGTATTTGTTAATACATTTTATAGACATGTTTGTAGCTTTCTTTTGTCTTTTTATTTTATACACAAACTATTCCCTCTGATAATCCTTGTGTAAGTGATGGAAAGAGTCCAAATGTTTATTATACAATGTTAGATAATTTCATTGTAAGCTTGATTTAAACCTCATAGCCCAGAAATAAACTGGGCACAATGTAGAAATTACACTTCCTATAGCCTTTGGCCTAATCCTGAACCCTTACAGTACACTTACTTAAGACGCACTGAAGCAGAAGCAGACTATAGAGTCCATTAAACAAAGGTATGTTTCACACTTTTTATATTTTTTACATTTTTTCAAAGTTTTTCATAAAAGTTTTTGAAATTTTCTGTGTTTTTTCTTAAAAAAAAACAAAGCCAAACACACACACACCAGATCCAAACACCACAAGAAAGTGAACATTTTAGCTTGGGGGAGGTTGTTTTAGGGTTTTCTCTTTTTTTCTTCATTTTTCTCTTCCTTTTTTCTTTTTGATCTCTTTTTTATTTGTGAAATGATAAAAAGAAAAAGAGGATGAGGGGAGACTAAATGGGAAAAAAAACAATCTCCCCCCCCCCCCCAAATTGTTGGTAGTAAGTTTCAGAAATCCCAAAAATTTCTCTCCTCTTTTCATTTTCTCTAAAATTTGGAAATTTGTGAAAAAAAGAAAAATTTTCCCTTCAAATTTTCATTTTTGAAAAAAATGCCATTTCTTGTCAAAAGGCACAGTAAATGAAAAATCTCCCCACCCTTACTAAATCTAGTTTAAATTTAATTTCACCTGTTTCCTGTTTCCACAAAATATTTCCTTAGAAGAGTTAATTCACCATTATTACAACACCTTTGACATTTGAAGGTCAAAAT